TAAACGTAGAAAAAAGCAAATATATTCTTTTTAAAAATCTTCTCGTTCAGACACCCTCCCTCTTGAAACTTCTTGAACAGCTTATCAATATAACTAAACTTAAAAGAGAATACTCAATCAAAGTTTTAGGTGTAATTCTTAATGAAATAGTTAGCTGGAGTAATCATATTAAAAAAGTCGATTCTAACAAATAATATAAAGACTACAACTTCCACTCTACATTTTAAACGTGAAACAAAACAAGACGTATTCAGTTTTGATTATAATTAATAACTAACTTACTTTTAAAACCTCTATTTAACCTTAGTTACTTAATATCTTATATATTGACGCAACACGTTTTTTATTTTGTTTTTTGAATATGTATTTTCTTCAATGTGTATGGATTTCAAAGTTATGTTATTATATTGACGTTAAAAAAATAAATATAATTAAAAAAAAAAAAAAAGTTATAAAAAAAAAAAAAATTATAAAAAAAAAAATTAATAGATAAGATTAAAAAAAAATTATAAAAAAAAAAAAGGTTTATGCATGCATATTATATACAAGATTATATCCATTTCTATTAAATACAAGATTATATCTAAAATTTTAACAACGGGGCTGGATGATAAGACCATGTCTTCAGCCAGCTTTAGTCGGAATTTTTCAAAACTTTATATTGTTATGTTGTAAAACATTGTAAAGCTTATTTTAAAGGACAAAATAGATAAATAAATATATTAAATAGATTTTGATAAAGGTCTGGCATATTATTTAAAGTATGTTTTTGAACATGTGTATGAACACCATTACAAATATAGACATCATAAAATCATTACAAACTGTTATTTTTTGGCAAGAAATACAAAAATGAGTTATCATATTATATATCTTCACATATTCGAGCTTAACAAACTACCAACCTCAAAACCTCAAAACCTCAAAACCTCAAAAATGAACAGTGTAAAAACACTAAGAATTACACATTTAGCCATAATAATATACATATTATACCATATTTATATATATTTTATATATACAAACACATTACCAGTTAAACATTGTCAGCACTAGTTAAATTTACTAATCTTCTTTTTGTTTTTGACTCCCTTAATAAAAGTTTACCTTCCTTTATCACAACCTTCTTCACGGAGTCTTGATTTATACATTCACATTTAACTAAAAACATCAATAATGGAAAACTAAATGTACCTCTTTATAAGACTTTAAGGTATGGTAAATATTCAATTACACATCAGTGCATCAGTGAATGGAATCAAAGTCCTGTGTGCATAGTGAATGAGTTTGAAAAATTAAAATTTCAAAATTTGTCTTCATTTCTTTATTTAAAACAAAATAAATCTAAACATTCTAAAAAAAATTTTATTTTAAGTTTTTATCATTATTAACTTTCTTTAGTTTTCTTTTTTCTTTTTTTTTTCTTACTATTTCTATAGAAACTTTATTATTTTTGTCATTAATATTTATTACTTTCATTACTGCTGTTTTAATTATTACTATTATTATAACAATTATCATACTTTTTGCTGTTACTTTTGCTCTATTAATGAATAAAGTTTTTATTGTTATTATTATTTTTTAAATTAATATTATTAATATAATTATTTGGTGTCACTTCCTTGACCAGGATTTTGCATGAGTGATTCTTTCCTTAATCAATTATTTATATTTATTCTTAATAATTATATTTTGATTTTATTATTTATAATATTATAGATATTCTTATTATCTTTATTATTATTATTTATAACATTATAATTATTCTTATTCCTGTTATTATTATTATTGCTATTATTGTTATTACTGCTATTATTGTTATTATTGCTATTACTATTATTGCTATTATTGTTATTATTGTTGCTATTATTACTAATATATTATTGTAATTATACGATTGTAAATTTCGAGGAAAATAAATATCTTGCTTTTTTTTTTTTTTTTATTAAACCGTAAGAGTTAGCTGGAGTAATCATATCAAAAAAATGGAAAAGAAAATATCTAAAATTATCGGAATTATGTATAAATCAAAGCATCTTCTTAATACAACTTGTTTAAAAAATAATTAACTCTTTTTTATTCATAGCTGTATCAATTACTGTAACATAATCTGGGTGAGTACATATCCAAAAAAATTAAATGCAATTTACAAAAAACAAAAATATGCATGTCGCTTAATATTAAACGCAAACAGGTACACCAGTGCCAATCCTCTACTAAAAAAACTTAAAGTATAATTAAATATCTTGTTGTTGTTGTTTGTTTGTTTTTTATTAAACCGTAAGCACGTTATTTTATTATAAAAAACAAGTTCAAAATAAAAAAAACACTAAAAGCTATATAACTCAAGAAACTATTGCTGAGTAACTTTTTGGCAAGAAACATATTATCTTAAGGTATCAATAAACCTTTCCTAATTTTTCACCTACATATTAATACAAAACGAAGTTAGAACCATTATCGACAATCAGTAACGTGGCTAGTGGGTCAGAGACTTCCTTAAAAACAGAAGGAAAAAAAAGCTCAATGTATTTACAAAAGAGCCCATAAAGCTCCAAATGAGTCTCCTAAAATTGCTGGGCTTCCCCACACCCTAATTGGAGATGTAGGGCGACCTAGACACGGCTTTTTCTAGAAATGAATATTTAATTTCGGCACGCAATCAAACGGTATTCCATTCAATTTCTTTTTTCTTCCTTTTGATAATCTTAAGCTAAAGAAAAAACTTCTAAGAAATCTTCAGTAACTTTTGGAACTTTAGAAAAAATAAAACTTTCTAAAACTTTCTAGAATTTGTTCATTTTTTTGGTTTTTATTTAAAAAATAATCATTTTGGTTTATTATTAATTCAACAATTAATGATTAAGAACTACCGATATCACAAACTGCTTATCACAAAACAATTGTAGCATTTTCCACACATACAAATTTTCTACAAACACATTGTAGCATTTTCCATAATAGAAAGACATTTTTTTTACTATAATTATTCTTTAACAATTTATTCATAGTAGAATATAACAAATTTATATGTGTTGTTGGATACCCACGTATTATTAAAATTAAAATATTATGATTATTTATTTTAAAAAGATTGTTGTAGCCACTGATTGCAGTCAGTGTTCTTTTAGGTTCGTTCGTTTAAGTATTCTATTGCAAAATGCATCTAGCGTAAATTCACTTTTGTCTCAACTCATCACGTCATCTTTTGTCACGTTTTCAAGGAACCCACCCAATCTCGAGCGTAACGTAACTGTGCAATGGTCCTTTTTGAATCTACTTGTAACAATACCGTTATACCGTTATTTTTTTATTTAAAAGAATAACTGTTTTTAGTACTGTTTTTAGTTTACAAGTAAACTTTCTCAGATTTTAGAGTTTTATAGAGTCAATTATCTTTATCAAGCACGAAATCTTGTATACTCATTATTTATAATGAGTATATAAGTAGGCACTCCAGTCACGTGACTTTGTCCATGTGACAAGTTCAGAATGTAAATATTGGCGAATTTTTTGGCAACTTTTTCGGTTATTATTATAATGCAATCTAATTTCAAACCCAATTGTCAGTTATATTTCACTGGAAAAAATAAAAAAAAATGCTGATCTCTGGAGGTTATTCTTTAAAGTTTCTTAAAAAAAAAGCTAGAAGATTTTTGAAGTCGTTTTCTCTATAGATTATATTATTTACACTTTTTGACAAGTACATATACTGTTTTAAATTGCTTTTTTTGGGTTCTAGCACACCAAAAAATATTATTTAGCTTATTAAATTACAATATTGGATACTTGTTTTTATACTAATTTGTTTATTTATATCTGTACTTAAAAACAAAAAAAACACTTTTTATTATTTTTTTGATATTTTTCCTGGCGCCATTATGGTACTCCGTTCTATCTACATAGCTAGTTATTTTGGATAAATTGACTTATATCTGTTTGCGTCCTTATTCTGTGGCCGTATTCTCATCTCTCCGTTAAGCTTAACGGAGTGTTTGTCAAAAAGTTCGTTTTAACTACATTAATTTAAAAAATTCTTTAAAAATAAAAATTTTTAAATAAAATTGTTTTGTTTTAGAATTAGTTTTGATTCAATAAATTTAAATAAAGTTTTTGTCATTTCTTTATATTATATTATTTTATTACAAAGATGTTGTTATAAAATTTTTGACAAACGCTCCGTTAAGCTTAACGGAGAAATGAGAATACAGCTGCTGGCCGATTTTCAAAAAATCTTTAATGCAGGGTTGTATTGATTGCGTCTAAGTAAAAATACATCATTTAGACCTTATATTTTATAAATATGCAGTTTAAAGTACTTATGACTCGTTAACTTTAAGAACATTGTTTTAAAATTATATAATTATTATATTCTGTAAACTCGTATTTTCAAAGTTTTCCTGATTACATTCAAACATTTTGCGTTTGTAAATTTTTTAAATTGCTACTAATATTATGATATAATATTGTTAAAACTGTGTATGTGTTTACGCTTATTTTGTATAACGTTTAATAGTTCTTTTGTTCTTTTTTTTTTTTTGTAAATTTTTGTATACAATCTTATAACATACTTTCAAGACATTATCCTATATCTGGTCATCATAAATCTTCATATTTCAGACCAGGTATGTTACATGAAATTTTTAAAATTCATTAAATTCTATGTTGTTATATATCATTAAAAAGACGTTCATTTCATTATTCCAAAAATGAAAAAACTTTCAAAATCGAACCACCCTACAAAAAGTTATGACGTTTTAAGTACCGAATTTTTGATATTAGGATTTGTTGAAGAAGCTGTGGTCAAAAAAAAAATTTTATTAACTAAAACTATTAACTTATTCAAATCTTATTCAAAATTTTATATCTATATATTTTTTTTAAATGAAAATGTAAATTTTTACATGCAAGATGCTTTTATAGTTAGCTATCAGACCACAATATAAAAGTTTCATCATTGTATTTGGGTGGATGTATTGGTGATGGTTTCAAACACCCTATTATCAAAAATGACTCTTTTTTTTATAAATATTTATTTTTACAATTAAAAAGAAATCAAATATTTAAATCAAAAGTTATATTTTACTACTTTAAAACATCACTAACAGCGCACACTTTGTTTCAATGGGTGTAGGTGGGGTAGGGGGAGGAGTGACGTTGTCCCCCCTCCCCCTTTTTTTTTTTTTTTACAACCTAAAAAAAATATATATATATTTTTAATAAGATTCAAAAAAATATTTAAAATGTAATTAAAATAATAAATTTTAATATAAAAACATATTTTACCAAAATTTAAGATACATCCACAATGTTTTGTAATAAGATGGTTCCTCCTCTGACCTAAAAAAAAAATTTAAAAACAAAAAATGTATTATAATATTATTTTAATTAATTTGCATCTTGGCTTTTAGTTAATAATTAAGATATTAAATTCCATTAACGAAACTATATATTATTCATAGTTAACAATAGACACGACATGAACGTAGGCCAGAGCCGTCTATCAAAAAAAACTTGCAAGTTCCACAACTTGCTTTATATTTTTTTGCATATTACAGCTTCAGAATCATTTTCTTCTCTAGTCCAGTAAGAAATAGTGTATGTCTTTTTATGTTTTTTTATGTTTTTCTGATCTCCCATTATACAAGACTGATATTGCTGTATCGGTATCATACCATTCATGGCAAAGATTTCTCCCAACAATTCTTTCACACATAACATCATTTAAATCATCAATTTGCTTAGTAGATAAGTTTTTAAACAAGTTCGGAATTTCACTGATACTTAATAATATTAATTGTTGCTTTAACTTTCTTTTTTCTTTTTCATCAATTTTTTGGCATTTTTAAGTCTGTCTTTTAGAAATCTCAGCTCTAATTTCAGCATGTTGTAGTCGAGTTTGTATTCGTTTTTTACGCGCTGCCTGAATAGACCACTGAACTTTTTTTTAGAAAAGTTATCAAGATTATCCAGATAATCCATTGTCATATTTTTTTTGGTTCATAATTTGCAAGATATTTAGTCAATTGTTGCATAAATTTGTAATTTGCAATATATATTGTCAATTGTTGCATAAAGAGAATGGAAATGTTCAGTGCTGCAAAAGGCAGCACTGAACATTCCCATTAACTCTTCACTATCTATGTTATGAAGCCTTGCACTAGCTGTTTCTTCTTCAAGTGCTTCTGAAGCAAGCCAACATCATGGCAATGAGTTCGTCATCAATTTTGCATACTTTTATTTTTGGTTCTAAAATATTTACTTTTTATATATTATGCATTGGCACATTTGCTTTATAGCAGTTGCATTACAAAATGCTACTTGAAGAACCTTTTGTAATTTTTTTTTTTTTTACTATTCCTATAGTCAGAAAAGGTATAAACTTGCTATAATGTTTTATAAAATAAAACAAGTGTCGAACAGAATGTGAAGGTGATCTCCACGATACCTTGGAGTGATACCTCGTGGTAGTTTATTATTGTCTAAAAAATTAACAAATCCCTTTGGGTCACCTTTGCCATCTTTGAACCTCATCTTATTTATAGCTAAAACAATTTTTGCAGCCATACAATAATTTCCATATAATTCACAGCTTTCAAGCTCGATAGACTTAAAGGTTAAACGACATGATGTAGCAATTGTGTCAAGAGGGTGCAAACGGCAATTTAACTCATTCAGACTTTTACCCCAAGTTTCACCAACTTTTCTTATTGTAAACTGGTTAACAGATACTCTGTTCCACATTGTGCTTGAAATATTTGAGATGACCATACAACAACATTCTTCAAAGGGTTTCAAGTGAAAGTTTAAAACTAAATCTGCATGATCCACTTTGTTACATATATGGTTTGCATAATTGACAGCTTTCCCACCTGGTAATTGATCAACAGCAATAACCTGGCATTTATCATTTAAAGTTAAGTGAATATTCTTGACATAAACACCTTCTTGTGTTGTTGCGTCAAACCCATGAGTAAGGTGAGTATTACTAATGATCCATTCTGCTGCCTGCAGATCAGCAATACTGCCATGCTCACAAGCCATTTGCTCAATAGTACTACGGTAAGCAATGTGAGAAAAAATAACACTGAAATATTGCCCAATTTTGTCTACTAGAAATGGAATGTTACTTGTTGGGACATTGCACAATAACATGCAGTATATTATTATTCTTATTTTTAATGAATAGTTTTTAGAATCAGTTGTATTTGTAATACTTATCTTGTCCTCCTCTATCTGGGTCTTATCTTCTAAGAAAGTAATAACTTTTTTATTTGTTCTAATGGTAGCATTATGTTTAAGAGCTAACTTTCTAAACTTTTCTCTCTCTTATTTTCATTGCTTTTTTTGATGCAATAAGTTTGTAAATTCGCCTACTGTAATAATATGTTTGGTTTTGATATTTAAAGTCTCTAAGTTGAGCTTTTAAAGCTTTCATAATATCTTCTTTTCTTTTAAAACTTTGCTTTAGAGCTTTCAATTTATATGGCAGGCTGGATAATTTTGCTTTCACTAAAGCTATTTTCTTCGATTTTCTATTAAAGTAATTGCGAATCTAGAAGACGAATGCTACAACTGGTAAGTTAATTTTTTCTTCCTAGGACTCAATTTTTCTATTGAAGTCTGCCTAGTTGTTAAACTTGCTTTATGCCCAGCAGAACATGAAGGTCCATTACTTATTAGAGATGTGTTGACCCATTATACCATTAAAGCCTAAAATAATTACCGATGAGTTTCTTAATGAATTTTGGAATGCAAAACAAACCAAAAAAAATAATATTAAAATAAGGTTTCAAGTTTATTTGTCTTAAATATGTTAAATATCACTAAAAAAAAATTTAATGATCCTTACCACTTACTTTGACACTTACTTTGACACAATAGCGGTATCTATTTGCGACCCAGAACAACTTTGGTACAAATTTTGCAAGTCAAAATATTTCCATATTAAGAAATAATCATGAGATATATTAGTTTAATACTAAAATAATCTAAAGAGATAACTATACAAGAAGAAATAATTATATATACATTTTTGATAATATCAATAAATATAATGAACTACATTTCAAACTATAAATGATATTAATTTATGTAACTAAATCAAAATTTATATCAATATACATACAACATAGTTATGACCAAAATGTAAACATTTAGCACAATAGACTATTTAAAAATTAGGCAAAAATTAATTGTATTAAAGTTACTAGAACTGGAACATTTTCTTGCATTAGTATTAGTATTTTGAAACTAGCAACAATTTAAAGTATTATAAAAACTACTAAACCGCAGATAAATAAATGAAAAATTTTAATCAAATTTGTTATAAAAAGTCATTGAAGGAAACATAAAACAAAAATATTTTACAATAAATGATTATTATTTAAAAAAGAACATTACAATGTCTATAATTAGTGTAGATAGTATCTGTAACTAGCTTTCAGTGTAACGTAAGTGCTACCATTTACAGGAACTTTTTACACTAATTATAGATATTGTAATGAAATAAATTGCCTCTTTTCTCCCGTAAAGTAATTTTTTCTTGTTTTAACTATTATTTTTATGTTTTAATTTTTTTGTATGAGAATTTTTACACATTGTATGAGAATTTTTACACATTGTGAAAGATTTTATTTAAATCTAATGATAAAAGTAGAAAAATAAACCATTTTGACTATTAAACAGACAAAAAAATTGTGCCATTTCTAAATATTATTACTTTGCGCCACTTTGTACAAAGTGTTCTGAAAAAGGTTTTGTTTTACAAAATTTTCGTTAGAGTATTTACGTTTTTATATTACAGATTGTCAGATAAACAGATTGTCCAAAACAACAAATGTAAAACCTGTGGTAAAATCGAGGACAACCTTCACATCTTTGCCTACTGTCCTCCTTCTGTTGAAATTTGGGAATATTTTAAACATGTATATAACTCCTTGACGTCCCAAACGGTTTTTTCGCCGATAAATTCGATTTTCTCAATCGGAACCGCGAATTTATCGGAAAAAAATCCTACCTCGCAACTGCTGTTGACACTCACTCAAACCATCATGAGCGAGATATGGAACAGCAGATGCCACCACATGTTCAGTAACACGAAAACTGACCCAATGGCAGTGATCAGGGTAATAATCAGGAAAATCAGGATTATTATTAATTTAAAATATAATTATCATGTCCGTAGAAACACTACGGACATTTTCTGTCAACTTTTTTGTATTAATAATATAATATGTCAAGTAGAGAACGGAAGACTGAAACTAAACATATGAGCTAAACTGACACCCTAGCTCAAATAAAAGAACTATATGTTTAGTGAGGTTTTCCATTTCTCTACGAATTATTATTTTTACAACAAAATATTATTATTTATGATTAAAAAATCACTGCCAGCCTTTATTTATGAGATATAATATCCCTTTTTAGATGTTTTCTCTGTAGCGTACGTAATGTGGTATTTGTGTGAAAGTCTTATACTTTTCTGCTGTTATTAAGTTATAATTTCCTTTCTTTAAATAATAACTTCACGAATTCTTTTTAAAATATCTTCCTCTTTAAATTTTCCAAACCTTCGATTTTTTTTCCGCACAATGGCTTTCTATTATAAAATCAAAAAATACAAAAAAAAAATATATAAAATCAAAAATAAAAAAAATATATATATAAAATACAAAAATACAAAAAAATATAAAATTTAAAAAATCAAAAAAAAAAAAAAATGTGTATATATATATATATATATATATATATATATATATATATATATATATATATATATATATATATATATATATATATATATATATATATATATATATATATATATATATATATATATATATATATATATATATATATATATATATATATATATATTTAACCACGGTAACCATTGTATCACCATTCTTATAATTATTATTGTAACACGATTATTATTAAAACCATAGTAACAATTTTTCTTTTGAAAACGTGCACGATATATTGTAAAACTATAATTTTTAAAATTTTGAGTTAATGTATTTTTAAACAGAAATATTTCTTTAATTGTAAAGAGGATATTTTTTTATTATACAGAAATAGTTTAAAAAAATTGTAAATATTTATTATTTTGAAATAAATTTTATATAAAAAAAAAAAAAAAAAAAAAAAAATTTACGTTTTATGTTATTTTAATCTAAAACTAAGATAAAAAGTATTGGAAAATCTTATAAATCAAAGATCGAGAAAGATATGTAACTTAAGCATTTGCAAAGTTCTATTTTTTTTATATCTCATATGTAATTTTTAATATTCTTTTTTTATAAATGACTTGTTTTTTTATTTGACTATTTTATGTTTTTTGAAATTAAAACTAAAAGGTTTTTATGTTCAGACTGTTTTTCTAGCGCTGGGGCAGAGTTACCACACCAGTTTGGGAATAAATCTGCTGTTTCCAACCTTATAAGTTTAGCTTTTGATTTTGGTCATCTTCAAGCTGAACAAGTTGCAGCAGAATACTTGAAAGAAAATTGGAAACTGAAAAAATAGCAAATGGATCCAACTTTTATATATCAACAAAAGGAAAATTACTAACTGTAAAGGCTGGCACACCTGAAAACAAAACTGCTAGGTGATTTATTAGACAATTATCTGTTCAAATTGTACAAGAACTGCAAATTGTTTTAGAACTCTCACTAAATAAAACAAAAGATATGATAGCAGTTCTAAGAAAAGGAATGGATAAAAGATCATCCATTGAATCAAATATCTCTGAAAAACTAAATGAAATTGAAGAATCCATCTCAAAATTTTATGAAGTTGAAAAGGTAATGTATAATATACTTATATACTAAATTGACTAATTACAAAATTCCAAATAAAAATATTTCTTTAAAACAACATTTGTTATTTAGATTTAGATGTTGTATTTGTCCAAGAAACATCAAATTTTATTTTAAATATAATTGAACAGCGGAAAATGGATCTATTTAGTACCCTTGTACGGATTTCTTTACACATGGGGTTCATTCTTAAAAGTTATTGTAAATATATTTGAGCCTGAAGTGAATAATGTAAACTCTGGAAGGTTTTTAAACAGTGGAGTTCAAAGATGCCAGATACTTGAAATCACAGAAGATGTTCCAAAATAAAATTATAATTTACGACTTGTTCTAGAAATACTAAACTTGCAGAAAGTTCAATTAAATATAGCCTTTGATTTAAAGTGTGCTAATTCAATATTTGGTTTATCATCTCATGCTGGTTTGAGAGCATGTCTTTCGTGCAAGGGACTCTCAACAATAGAGTAAGGAAAATTGAGATCTTTGGAAAGCTTGGATTATTGGTACTCAAAATATGGTGAGACTGGATTCAATCAGGCTCTTATGAAAGATTGTATGAATGTAATAATTCCCAGAGTTATCCACTTAGAATATGATCTTAAATCTTTAATACAGTACCTTGTAGCTCCACCAGAACTACACCGTATGATAGAATTTGTTTCATTACAGGAACTCTTTTATAAGATCTATGGCCTGGTTTTGATGATTGGTTGAAATCAAAAAATATTCTTCAAAGAGGTTACCAAGGTAGAGGTTGGGATGGCAACAACTCAAATGCTATCATTAAAAATCTTGATGAATTAGAGCTTGTCATTAAAAGCACTTTTTATCATTGCACTCCCTTTGTTGAGTGTCTTAAAAACTTCAGATCTGTTAAAGATGCTTGCTTTGGTAATACTTTAGAAACTGGATTTGAAGAAGTTTGACATGAAAAATTCATATTATTTTGTGCCATGTAGCTCCATTTGTCAAGTATCATAGATGCAGTTTAGGAAGATATCATAAACAATGTGGTGAAGCAAGCCAAGTTTAAACCAACCTGGTCTAGATATAAAAGAAGTAAAGGACATTCAGAGCATAGCAATCAACTATTGGCAGCTGTTAATCATTTTGGAGGAATTTGAATAACCTAATGTGTGTGTGTTTTTTTTTTCTTTTTCAATTGAAAAAATAGAACTTTATATTTATTGTTTAAATATATCATTACTTGGTAAAAAAATGACAATTAAAATAATGAAAAAATGAGAGCTGATATATTTTTTTTAATTGTAATTTCAGCTCCGAAAATGATGGTAGACTAATTGTTCCTCCCACTTTTGATGCATTGTTAAAAAAGGCAACCAACTACAGTTTATCTTTCCTGAAATATTTCTGATGATTAGTTGTCCCCACTCTTAGACAGACGCAGAGTAACCCAGCACAAGACATTGTTCCACAAAATGGGAACAGAGTAGCCCAGCGCAAGACATTTCCTGAAATATCTCTGATGGTTAGTTGCCCCCACTCTTAGACAGACGCAGAGTAGTCCAGCGCAAGACATTGTTCCCCAAAATAAGGAACTATTTCTTGCGCTGCAAAGTAAGTCAGAAGCCGGCAAAACCTAAAAAATAAAGTTTATAAGACCTATTTTTTTTTTTTTAATATCAGTTAAATATGTCTAATATACAATAATAATATTGTTTATGATAATATATTCAGGGCCGACAATGCCGTTTTTGGCGTTAGAAATAGTTAACTTTCAGACATTTTGAGGTAGGTACAATCGGCGGGGCGGGGCGGATCAGCGGGGTGGATCATTTTAACGGTACAAACGGCGGGGCGGATAATTTAAACGTTGCTAACATTTTATAATGCAAGTCATACTTTAATAAATAAAAAAAAATTTGTTTTTTTATTTGATAAGTATTTTTTATAGATTCAGATATAGTTTAAATTCATTAAAGAAATGATATTAAAAAAGGTATTAGCAAATTATAATTTATAAAAGTTTTTAATTTATAATTTATAAAATTTTAATTTTTAATTTATAATTTATAAAAATTTATAATTTATAAAAGGTATTAGCAAAATTATAATTTTAATAAACGGCGAAAAATATTATATAGTTTTAAAATCATTTTTACAAAAAACAAGGTGATCCGCCAATTTATATCAAGTGATCC